CATCGGACAACCCGGGCATCCAGTGCGGCGACTACGTGGTCATCAGGAATGATACCCTCCCCCGCGCCAGGTGGTTCAGCACTGCGGACTGCACCGAGCCCCTATCGACACAGCCCCTGGATGGAGCGGTTTTCGGACCCGTCCTCAGTGTCTTGGCCCGCGAACAGGACGGGCGGACTCAGTTCGTCCAGATCGGCAGCGAGTGGCTGGAAGTATGGGCATTGGTGACAGGACGCTACGCGTAAACGTCCTCCGCGGAGACGCAGCGCTCCGGGCAGCAACCTTTCTGGACAATACCCACAGCAAGGTGCACGGAACGCCGGCACCAGCACTCCGCGACAGTCCCATGTTCGGCGTCGACACCGGGGGAGGTAACGCGACGTCCTCAGGGGGAATGCAGACCGGACCCGAGCTGGAGCCCTACCCGCCGCAGGCAGACGCGCAGGATCCCACCATCGAACCTGCACCCCTCATGCCCCCTAAGGAGGAGGACCCCGACTGGACCAATGACGAAAAGGCGCAAGAGCAGACGCTGCGCCTCGCTGAGGCCCTAAGCGCAGTCCACCCGGTCTCCTCATCCTCAGACTCGGACACAATCGAAGAACACCCAGCCAAGACGAGTCCTCGGAACGAGCGGCGCAGCAGTCCCGAGCACGACTCATGCAGTACCGACCAGAGGGCCACCAACGTACCCGCGGAGCCGATCGTGCGTCCAGAGGCCGCGGCAGACGACCGGAAACTGCACACGCGGAGCCGGTCCAAAGGCCCAGAGGACCCACGACCTGCACTCAACCCCCTCCCTGCACACCAGCTCGAGCGCTTGCGCAGCAGGGTGCGGGAGCCAGTCGCCTGGGAGTCGCACGCGACGGCGGTGAGGCACGAGTCCAGAGAGGCCGACCGGACCCGCACAGGAGAGCACGATCGCGACCGCGACCGCGACCGCAACCAGGGCGCAGCGGGGGCCCCGTGGCGCAAACACGACGCCAGGGACTGGGACAGAACCAGGGAACGCTACTGGGACCAGAACCGCGACACTAGGAGGGGCTCAGGGAGCACACCCTGGCGCCAGCCAGAATCGCGCAACTCTTACCACAGGGACGACCGCCGCCATACCGACACCAGCCGGACGCGGGCAACCTTCCGCGTTGGCTGGCAGCGCCTCCCGCACCAGACAGCAGTCACACACCTGAAGAGGCTGCAAGCGGAAGGGGGATACCACTTCAACGCAGCCTGGCAGTCGTGGTGCAGGCACATGTGCAAGGAGCAGGGCAAAGGCAAATGCAAAGACCAGGTCCCCTTCGACCCGGGCCGCTGGCAGCATTGGATCATCGAGAATTCCTGGACGACATGAGCACCAGCAACCATCACGTGGAGGCGTGGTCCCGCAGCGAAGGGGTCTACGTGGACTGGGATCGGGAGCAGAGGCTATACCAGGACGTACAGAAGAAAAGGGAGGTCGCCAAGGGTGACGGGCGCGAACGGGACCAGGCGCGCAGCTCCGGGTACCATGACACCTGGACTGGGAAGCGCCCGCGCGCTGACCAGCCGCCGACCTGATCCCCCTTGCCCGACGGCATCACGACACAACCACCCCGTCACTCCCACCACCTGCGCCCCGGACCTCCGCCCCGCCTCTTTCACCTGGCTGGGGACCGTGTGTCCTCCCCTTCCCCCCCACCTGCTCCCCATTGCCCTAGTGGCACCCACTTTCCACGGGCTACGGCTACTTGCCACTCCACCTGGGCACCGTCTTTTCCTTCTCCTCCCCTCCCCCTCTCCCGTCTTCTAGGGTCTGGGACCTTGTGTCCCACCTGTACCCATCGGGGGCCGTTCCCCCTGTGAACATCTCCGATGCGGACTGGAGCGTCGAGGACTGGCGTGGCACGCCCTGTCTTTACCTGCTATGGGACCTTGTGTCCTTCCTGTGCCTGTACCCTTGTCCCCCACGTGAACACCCACGGTGCGGGCTGACGTGACTTCGGCTGGAGGGGGATGCCGGCCTCTCTCCTCCCTGTTCGCTTCGTCCACCCCCGCTCGCTTCCTCCCCTCCCATGGCGGCAGCGCCCGGCACTGCGCGGCTTCGGCCCGGTGCTGGGCACTGCACCTTGCCACCTCGGCGGCCCCGCTCGCCTTGGCGCTGTGCGGCTCAGGCCCGGCCCTCGGCCACGCGGAAGTCAGCGCATCGTGTGTGGCACCGGCCCGTCTTCACGCGCTGACTGTGCAGGCCAAGTATCCTCCCTGCACTCCACCGACATCCTGTCGGACACGGACGGCCGTGTCTCTGGCCGCACCTCTTGCTGGCTGCTTCCTGGTCGTGGATAGGACTACCACCCCAGGCCGCTTCCGACCACCAGGTGGCACAATGCTGCACATCGCCTTCGTGGTCCTCCTCTTCTCCTGGGCCTCGTCCTCACCATCCGGTGGCACAACGTTGCTCATTCATGGTGGATTTCTCCTCCCTGGACGTCGACCTGGTCGCGTACTACGTCCTCCTATGCAGCACTTGAAGATGGTGTTTACGGAGTGCCGTTGTCGGCAACACCACATCGCTCACCCTCCGGGTCTTCGCCTCCGGCTCCTGTCCACGGCGTTCCTTTTCCTGTGCAAGCTCCTCGGCACCGCCTGCACCCCAGCCCGCCCTCCGGCCGCCTGAGGCCCCGCCCGCCTTTGCCCTGTCTGCCCAATTAGAGCTGTGCGTAGCCCGCCTAGCTTTTACTGGAAGAGGTTCGCTCTCGCCCCGCAGACCAAAAAGTGTTTCACTATATGTGTCTCTTCGCCCCTTTTCCCGTCAGCTCTCATGGGCAGGGTTTCTGAACGGGCTGGTGGGGATGTGCATGCGAAGCGTGAAGAATGAGGTGAACCTCCTCCTCCTCCTCCTCCTCCTCCTGCTCCTCCTCCTCCTCCTCCTCCTCCTACCCCTCCTCAACCCTGTTTCCTTGTAGCGAGCTCCTGGTTGTCGCACACCCGGACGTGTCGGCAAGGCGGGGCGGGCGTTTCGCCTGAGACTTGAAATCTGCAACAATTTAATGGATGGAGGGCGGACCGTTGCAAAAATGTGGCTCTCGCAATAACGTCGCGCACATCCGTTGTAAAGTTTGCAACGGCTTCACGGACGGAGGGAGGTTTCCTTCCAGAATGTGGTTATCGCGCTAGCGCCGCGCACATTCGTCTTAAAATTTAAAAGCAGCTTCACGGATAAAGGGCAGGTCGTTGTAAACAATTGGGCTCTCGCCCTTGCACCGTACACCGCGCACATTCGTCTTGAAAAGTTGCAACCATTTCAAAGGTGGAGGGCAGGTCGTTTGAATACGTGTGGCTCTCGCCCTAGCGCCGCGCGCATTCTTTTTAAATGTTTGCAGAAATTTCACGTGTGGAGGGCGGGCTTCTGTAAACATGTGGCTCTCGCCCTAGCGCTGCGCACATTCGTATCAAAGTTTTGCAAGAGTGTCATGTATGGAAGGCGGTTCCTTTTCAAATGTGTCTCTCGCCCTAGCGCCGCGCACATTCACCCTCAAAGGTTCCAACAAGTTCAGAGATGTGAATGGCAGACATCACCCGAAGTTAGTGTTCTGACGTGATCTACAAGTGTCTGGGCGCAGCAGTCATGTTAAATTCACCGTGCTGAAGTCCCAAGAATGGTGGTTCTGCCACGAAGTAAAATGGCCAGGACGCAGCAGTCACCTAGATTCGCGGCGCTGAATTCCCAAGAATGGTGCTGTGGCACGGTTGAAGATTCTCAAAAATTTGTTTTCCAAGTGGGCGCTTCCCGCAATGAAGCTAAACTCTTGCATGGACCTATGGAGAAGTAACTTGGAGGCAGGGTTTATTGCAACATCGTTGATGCGTCTTGGGCTTACTCTGGTCATCCCTCCCTCCCTCTCATCTCAAGCAAGAGGCCCAAGCCTAGCTCAAGCATGGGGCTCGAGCCAACGCCTTCGCTCCTCCCAAGACTTAATGCTATGTGCAGCTGCGGCTTGAGGTCCTCGTCTTCGGTTCCGTGGCGCTGGGGAACCAGGCGGCGCAACACCGGGTCTAAAGCAATCTGTCACCTTGGTGCTCGACGTATTGGCGCGGTAGCTCTTCCACCCATCCATGTGGCCATTCTTGTTGTTGCATCGCGGGCCTGGGCGCGTTTCCACTAGTTTGGTCACTGTGCAACTCGACTTTCTGGTGGGATGAGGCTGCGGTGAATTTGTCATGGTAGGGCTCGAGGGATGAGCCATGGCGGCTAGCATTCCCCCCGTCTTCGGGCCTAGTGTGCCCTGGTGCCTGATAGACTTCTGAAGGAGTTCGTGGTGTGAGCGCTGCGATGTGGATGTGGCCGCTGGGCTTCGTTTTCTGCGTGGGGGTTCACACCATTCGGCCCTGCTGATGGTCGTTGTGATACAGGCGACATCGTGCGGATGTGCTTTGCCGCGCGTATTGCGTCTTGTTGCGCGCGGCTGTATCGTTGTCGTGTGGCGTCTCAGGGCAGGCTGGCTGTGGTGCAGTAGCGTAGCAAACTGTTTTACGTTGTGTTCTTGACAACTTCCTTTCTGGCTGGTGATTGAAAGTAGTGTACAGCTCGCCACATACCTTGAGAGGTTTGCTGGAGTGGGCATTTATGTTTCGTCACTGCGAGTGGTATCACGTATGCTGGGTGTTCTTTCATCGTTGTCTTCTTCGCCATTGTCTTCCACGCGCTCGTAAGTCATTGAGCAGCTTACCCAGCAGTAGGATCCAGCCTATTCCCCCTCACCCTCCACTCCAACACCCCTTCTCCCCCACTTCCCCCTGGCCTTCCTTCCGATCCTCCTTAGTGCCCCTCCACCCCCCCGTGCTCATCCTCCTCCTCCTCCCCCTCCTCAGTGTCGTCTTCCTTCGCCTCGTTCTCCTCCAACCTCTTCCATGTTCCTCCTCCTCCTCCTTCAACCGGTCGTCCTGCTCCCCTATCTCCGCAAATTTCTGACTCTCCTCCTCATCCTTCTAGCAACGTAACCGGAGGAGGCGCTCGCCGGGTCCTCGTTGATGCGACCAGGCTTGCTATTGTAGGCGCCCTTGCACGGGGAGGGGGCTGCGGGGCTGCGACCGGCAACCTCCTCCGCCCCGCCTCCGCACTGCTGCTCCTCCTCTGTCTCTTAAGCAAGCCGCAGGCGCTCCGTCTCCTCCTCCTCCTCCTCCTCCTCCTCCTCCTCCTCCTCCTCCTCATTCCTCATCATTTCTCCTCCTCCCCCTCTGCCCTCCTCTGTCCTCCACCCTCCCTCAGAGGGATGGTGGAGGAGGCGGAATGATCATGGAGGAGGGGGGCCCTGTTGCTCCTCCTCGTGCCTCCTCCCGCATCACTTCTACTCCTTCATCCCACCTTGTTAGCTCCTGCCTCCTCGCCCTCTATCCTCATTCTGCCCTCGACGAGGGGGAGGAGAAACGCGAGGAGAGAAACAAATGGGGGGACAAAGACGACGACCAGGACGAGAACGGCCACGAGTGACGACGGGCTCCCGCGGCTGCGCGCTGCGCCCGAATTTGCGAATCAAAAAAAGACGACGACAGGAAGGACCCGCGGACGAACGAGAATTCAGAGGCCTCTCGTGGCGGCGTCTCGAACACCCAAACGAGGCAACCCTAGGATCAACCTGGCGTTTCAGATTCTGGGCCTCCAATCCCACCCAGCAGGTCCAGTATGCTTCGCAGCCTGAGAGGAGGAGACTGGAGGGGGAAGAGGAAAGCCAAGATGATGAGGGCGAGAAAAATGAGGTATGGACACGGGAGGGAGACGGGAAATGCGGAGCAGGGGGGAGGGAGTAGAAGGAGGAAGACGAGGAAAAGGCAAAGGAGGAGGGGGAGGAGGCAAGCTAGGTGCGCTGGCGTCACATCTCTGACCTCCTACCCCTCCCTCCCATCCCCTACCATGGCGTAGATCTCCTACGTATTCGCACAGTCGGATGTCGGGCAAGGCAATGATCCCAAGAGGGTACGCGATGGATAGAAAAGCATGGCGTAGAAGAGCACGGCAGAGTATAGCATGTCATATCATGGCGTGGCATTGCGTGGCGACCGACGCCGTCGGTCGCACGGAAATGAGACCAGCACTGCAGCGGGAGCACGATTTAGAAGGGCTGGAGCGCGGGAACAAGGCCAGGACCGAAAACGGGAATGAGGGCACCGCTGCAGCGAGAGCACGATTTGGAAGGACCGCAGCACTGGAACGAGGCCAGCGCTACAGCGACAGCGCGACTTGGAAGGACCGAACACGCCAGTGCTGCTGCGGGAACACGATGTGGAACAACTCGAGGCGCGGGAATGAGGCCAGCGCTGCAGCGGGAGCACGATTTTGAATGACCGAAGCGCGAAAATGAGGTCGGGGCTGCAGCGGGAACACCATGTTTGGAAGAACAAACGACCGGATTGGAAAAAAACGAAAAAACAAATAGGACAAACCAAATCATGAAATCCTGTTAAAAAAACACGCCGAGAGGACGGGACACTATCCGGACAGAGTCAGGGGAGAGAGGAGCGTGGTACTCATACTGTGTAAGTGTGAAGGGAGGACGAGGAGGAGGACAACATGGAGGAGAAGAATAAGGAGGATAATATATTGAAGGTCGAGGAACGAGGAGGGAAGAGAAGAGAGATAGAAGGAGAAGAAGAAGTATAGGCAGAAGAAGAGGAGGAGGAGGAGGAGAAGGCCGAGGACGCTGATACGGGATGAGAGACTCGCGCAGGCGGGGGAGGAGAGAATGCTAACATCGTTGAATTCGGTCATTCGGTCTGTGTGAGGGGCTACTCGTCTCCTGGCGCCGCGCTTCGGAGGGAGGCGATCTGGAAAGCACTGAGGGTCCTGCGACCCTGGATGGGCCTAAGGGGGGTTCAGAAAGACGGGGTCGGCACATGTCCAGACCCTCGCCCCCACATTCCGTCCAATCTTGATCCTAGCCTCCTCGGCCCTTCTGCCTTCACCAAGGGATCAAAAACAGCATCAGCGAAACGCCGCCGTGGGAAGTCAATCAACGTGGTACTGCTGCGCAAGACATGTAGACAAAAAAGACTAGCAGCATGCTAACGAGCTACCAACGGCAGCGTGCTGTCATTGATGTTCTTTCTCTTTGCCCCTCCTGATTAACGAACATCCCCCTGAACACTCCACTTGCCCAATCTCCTGCAGACGCGGTGCGGAGGACCCCCAACGGCGATGAGGGACGTTCCACTATAGTCCAAATGTTCAACTATAGTCCAGATGTTCCAGCGCTAGCTTCACCGAGAAAAAATGCCCACGCCTGAGCGATGCCAAAGGAAAGGGCGCCAAAGGGCCTGAACGGGGCAGGGGGGCCGTCTTCAGCAGCCTCGACATCGCAGGGACCAGAAATGCTGCCAGCTCTGCGCAGGTCAGCCGCCCTGGCCCGAGATGTGGCGGGGCGGCCACCAGCGCAAAGCACCAGCAGGTCTGGCTCCCGAAGCGTCGACTCACAAACGGGTGCAGCAACCATTTGCGAGTCTGCGCCGACCGCCCACAACAAAAGGGAATTGAGTTCCTCACGCCCCAGGGGGGAACCCATCGCATCGACGACTTCTCGGGAGGGGTGTCGAAGCAGGCCGATGGGTCCACCGCAGGGTGTCAGGAACACAGCTCCCGCGGATGTGGCTGGCCTGCTACGGCCAGAGTGAGGGCAAGCTCCCCTCGTCCAGCCCTGCGCTGCGCGACGGAGCGGTTGGACCCGCTAGGGCCTTGGACATGGAATTCTCCGCGCTGCTGTTGCTGTTGCTATCAGCATACCCGCCGCGGTCTGATCGGTAATCGCGCCTGTACCCGTTGCGGCCCATACCACTGGCACCCTTTCCACCCTCGTGCCCCATGCCCGCGCGGTGCATACTGCAGCGTTGCACAGTCGGCGGGCTTGAGGTCACTCTAAATGGGCAGCGGACAGATAGAAGTCACCACAATTGAAGTATGGACGGAGTTGAAGTCATCTCGCGTGAAAGAAAATGTGCTCACAGACGTGCATGGCCCTGTCAGTTACAATTCCAAGGCGCATGGCACGATCAACCCTAGGGCAGCATGGGATCCCACCAGCCCTATGGGCGGATGTGGTCTAGAGCGGTTCCTCCTCCAACCCCCTTCTTCCCCTGCGGGGAAGGGTTTACCACGATTCCCTATAAATAACACCTCCTCCCCCAGGCGACCGATAGCCAACCCGAACCCATGCCGACCCCCCCCCCACAACCCCACCATCCCTGCCAACAAAAACACGTGTTGCCTCCAAATCTGAAGCATCCGCAGGCGCCCCGCGACCACTTTGCGTTGGTTTTTGAAGGGGACGGCGTGAGGCGGACTCATAGTGCTTGCTCTGCGCATTCCAAACATGTCCTTCCAAAACAATATTAAAACATACGATTTCCGAATCTGGAGCATGCGCGGGCGCCCCGGGACTACTGCGCATGTGCTTTTGACAGGGACGGCGGGGGGGCCCTCATATTGCTTGCTTCGCGCAGGCCAACCACCCCTATAAAAAGCAATTCACTTTGCCTCCAAATCTGGAGCATGCGCGGGCGCCCCGCGATTACTTTGCATCGGTGTTTGAAACGCGCTGCAGGGGTGCTCCGGTGTTGCTGGTTGCGCGCGGGCCAACAATCCTTGTCAACTTCATATGCGAAATTCACTTAACATCCAAATCTGGAGCGTGCGCGGGCGCCCAACGACCACTACGCATTGGTTTTTGACAAGGATACCCGGTGCTTATGTGTTGGGAGATGTTCGACAAAGGCCTCAGGAATGGCCCCGAGATAACCCACGTGAGTTGCCAAGAGGCTCCTGTATCGACGCATGTGCAAAACCATGTACGGTTGACTCATAGGCCTGCTCAGGCTGATCCCGATCTTCGGATTGACGGCTGCCCCCCTCTTTGCTCCAGTGTGTGCTGCCACCTCCCTGATCACTGCCACTCGCCTGGGCATCGTCGCTGGGTGAGCGGGTGGGGGTACGCGAAGCGCACGAGTCGTGCGCCCGTATGCCCTGCAAATTGCACGGATTCGAGGTACGGTGTATTCGTGTATCCTGCGAGCTGGCCGCCAGGGCACAGTATGCCCGTACTCCAGCAAATCAAATCATTCGATACACCCGTCCAGTGGCTGGATACAGATCGGTACTGAATGAGCGACCCCAAGGCCCCGAACGTACACTTTAAACGAATGTTCTCTGAGCCTCCCAACGTGCCCTAGGGCCTCAGAGCCTTACAAGCTTTCACGACTGCCTTCATGGAGCCAATAACATGGCAAGAATACAAAAAGCAAACGGCGTGCAGGTTGCAAAGACGGCCCAACATTGCCCCAATATGTCCCGCAAACGCGCCAAGATGCCTCCCGAGTCTCCAAGGTGACCCCAGAATTGAACAAGGTGTTTCCAAAAGGCTTCAAGATGCCTAAACACGGTCCAGCAAGGCCCCGAAAATGTACCAGGATGCCTTCCTCAGCGTTTACCCCGAGATGTTCCCCAGCGGTTGGGGGGGGGCATGCGGTCCACTAGCGTGGCCGCGCTTTCACTTGACATGTCACGACACAGGCATTTCAAAAGGCAGGGTGCGGAGATGACTCGCCGTATGCGTCTTCGATACTGTACTCCGACGTTGTGTTTGACTTCGACCCTGAGTCTGGCATATGAGCATATTTATCTTGCCAGCCACTGGGTTCCCCATGCAGTCATCCCTCTCCGAAATACAACATGCAACGGAGAGAGCAGTGAACATGAAACGAGGCCACTGACACACCAGAGCGATAACCTAAGGAACCGGCGCTCAGGACAGGGAGCGCGCACGCGACTTTCGCTTTTTCCTTTTGCGCTTGAATCAATGTTCGCATCCGCTCGACTGTACCACACCGATCCAAGCGGGTCACCGCGCTGATGAAACTGACATCAAGGCGAACATTGCGAAGAGATGGAGCCAGACAGGGCACGCGCATACGCAGGGGAATAATGAATAAGCAAGTGGAGGACCGAGATAGAAAGGGCATGCCGTGTATATATATAAACATAGGTGTATATATATATATATGTAAATATATACATATATATATATATATACATACATATGTATATGTATATATATATACATATATATCGCTCGTACCCAAGGCATTCCATACATTTGTATATATACACATATGTATACATAGACAACTATGTATGTGTATGTATGTATAGGCGTGTATGTGTACAGAGAAGCGAGAGACTACGACATGTACGTTGATGTATATATATATACGTATGTGTATATGAACCGACGTGGAGCTATACATGTAGAACAAGAGAGAGAGAGTGTGTGTGTGAGAGGGAGAGAGCGAGAAAAGCTGATGCTGACCAGGGCAGGGCAGGCAAACGTACAGATCCTGTGCAGAGAAGATACACATACATGTGTATGTATGTTAAGACAAGCGGGGGTGGCGGAGCTGATCGGCGGCACAGAGGCCGAAAGGGCTGAAACAATTGTGCCAAGCCCCTCTGTTTCACCCCTGTGTTTCTATCGGCCATAGTTCTCACGAAGAACATCTTTTGGAGCCACCACGACCCCCCAAATAGCCGCCGAATTCTGAAGGAGTTGCGCGGCAACTTTGCACTTTCTAGAAGCATGCAGCGCTGGGCGCGTAGGCCCGCCTGAAACACTCCGTGACGAGCATCTGTATTGAACCAGACATCACCGCGGCCGTCGCCATCTTCACCGCCAGGACCACAAGAAAACACATATTACAATCATCATCGCGCCGAGGGCACGTCAGCCTGCGTCGCCGCACATCGACTCTTTGCTACGGCCGAATGCTGCGAGTTTCCAGCAGCATTCGTCGACAGCTCTCAAAGACAAAACCGCCAAAATGGTAATTGAAAGGGCCTCCAGTAGGGCCGCCGAAAGGGCCACCGAAATCGTCGCCAAAACCGCCCCCGAAATTGCCGCCGAGATCGCCGACGAAATCGCTGCCGAAATTGCCGCCGAAATGGCCGCCGAAATTGCCGCCGACCTTGCAGCCGAAATTTCCGCCGAAATTGCCGCCGACATAATGTCGAACTCCGCCCAAATAGCCGCCGAAATTCGGCCTCCGAAATTCAACCGCCGAAATTTGCCTTGCCCTGTCCCAGGCGAAGTCACTGCGTCGCCAAGCATGATGACGCCGCGGGCACAGGCATAGAGTCACAGCCAAGGTCAAGTTCGGCTTCTTTTCGGCAGCACAATCCGGTAGTTCGGCGGAAATTTCGGCGGCAATTTCGGCGGCGATTTTGGCGGCAAGTTCGGCGGCGATTTCGGCGGCGATTTCGGCGGCAATTCAGGCGGCCCTTCCGACTGATCTTTCGCCGGCAATTTCGGCGGCAATTTCGGCGGCGTTGCTTTTGCCAACTGTCGACCACGGCTGTCGGGGGCCCTCGGCACTCGGCGGCCCCGGCGGGCCCCGAGAGGGCCGTCGAAGGGCCTCGCCAGAAAGCGCCCGCGAAGTAGCTCAAACCACGCGCGATTGGCGCGCGCTAGCATGCGCGACGCGCAGAACGAATGCATCGCAGCATGCGCCAGCGCGCTCTAAGACGCGCTGGGGAACCACCGAGCGGCAGGGCGCGCCTGTACACTGACACCACGACAAGAATTCAATTTCGTTTGGAATGGATTCCGGTGAGCGCCCCTTCTCGTCTCCACAGAAAGAGCCACTACGAAAGTTCTTGTCCAGTTAGCCGACCTCAAAAAGCCCGGGCCACCCCCCTCACGGCCCCTCGCCCCCCCCCCCCCGCGCGAGCCGCCCCCCCGCGCCCCCCCGCGCCCGGCGGGGTGCACCGCCGCCTGTCACGGGGGCGCTCTGCCGCCTCCCAGGCCAGGGGGCAGCGGAAGTCTGGCTCGGACTAGGGCGAGCTTTTGGGATTCAACTAACTCAATCGGTTTTCGATGGTTTTTCACTATCATCATCACCATTCACATCATCACCGCCGTCATCGTCAGCGTCATCATCATCACATCGCCGTCTTCATCATCATCGTCACCGTCATCGTCATCCCCGTCGCGATCGTCATCATCCTCGTCGCCGTCGTCGCGCAGGATCAAAATTTTGTGACAAGCAATGAACGGGGCCCAGGGCCTACTCGCGCAGGACAACGCGGCTTGGCCAGGAACGGGGGCGGCGCGCGGCCTCGCGCGGTCAGCGCGCGACGCTTCGGAAAGCACCTCCGCCAAGTCAGGGGGCGCCGCGGTGACCTCGGCCAAACGCTGGGCCACGGCGCGGTTCGCGACGCGGAAGAGCTCCGCAGGGCCAGGCGCGGAGTCGATCTTGTGCGCCCTGACCCCCCGAAACACGTCGGAGCGAAACGCGACGGCGATCTGCGGCCGCAGGTCGTCGGCGTCGTCGGCGATCGCCGTCGCAGCAGGTCCGTCAAACGTGCGCTGGCACCCCCCGTGGCGGAGCGCGCTGTGGTTCAGGGCGGACAGGTTCACCGATTAGAAGGACCCAGGCTGCTGGCGGAAGGCGATCTGCCCATGACCTGCCGCCTTCACTTCCACGGGGCGCGCGCCGGAAAGCGTCGCGACCGCGCGCAGCAAGGAGCAGCAGCCAACAGCCAAGCCTCGCCTGACTGCCCGTGCCACTTCTTGAAGAAAGGCTGGGGATCCAGCCACGTGGCCGCGCGCCCCGTCATCCGCGCCCCCTCTCTCTCGCTGCCTGGCGGCCCCGAGCTCTTCGCCGTGGCATCCGCGAAGTCTCTGCCGTTCGTGGCGGAGAAGGGCGGCTGGCGCGCGCATGACTCCGCGATCAGGCGCCCGAAGGGCCGCGTGCCCAGATCTTCTTGAATGCGCTGGTTCCCAAGGAAGACGTCGTGGAGCCTGTGATGGGGCGTG